ATAGCACCATCGAGGCCCAAGTTTTATAGTTACTCCCCAACCGGAATGAAGCTGTAAGGTTTATTTTTAGATCTGGTACCACCGTCCTTCCAACTCAGATGGAAGAAGGGCACTGACTGGTTCTAACCCACTAGCCTTCATGGGAGAAAGATGAGGCTGTCTGCCCAGTAATGACTGATCGTCCTGGAAACCCCATGTAGGGCCAGGATGTGTGGAAATTAGTTCGATGAGAAAGGTCTTAAGGAAGTCGGGGAGTTTTAGGTTCTGTGTTTGGTAAATATCATATGCTCTGCTGGCTGGGTTTGGGGTACTGATTCGCATAGTACTTTTTAAATCACTTATATCAATAAAAGAGAATCTGCATTATTGAATACCATAATGGGCATAGGCTTCCTCAATAATTGTATTTTCAAGTTCCCAGAGCCCTTTCCCTAAGAGACCTTCCTCCAGTTTGACTGAAGGCTCTGCTAATACACATTAACCTTCCCTTTGATGGTAGTGATTGGGTGGAATACGAGGAAAGCAGGTTTCCCTGCAGGGTAGAGGTCAAGAGTTTATCAGCCAGAGACCCCTCCGTGGTAGGCCCTACACAGGAGACCTTATCAGCTTGCCATTTGAGACCTCTTCTAGACCAACTGCTCAACTTGCCCATGGTGTTCTCTTCCATCGACAGTATTCATGTCCTATGAGCTCAGTTGATCCTAGAGAAATAGGGAATCAGGGAAGTGAGCAGTCTAATGTGAACGCTCCTATCGTGCTGTTTCTGTATTCCTTTATCACTGGAAATTGACCCTAATTTGGGGGTCACTCAGTCCTTAAGATGCTCTACCCAGTCATCCATAAAGAGCCCTGGCGGTGCGGCTGGGTAAGTGTTGGATTGCTAACCGCAGGCCAGCAGCTCTGTACCACCGGGGGTCTGGGGCAGGGGGGCGGTGGCGGCGATGAGCCTGCCTGCTGCTAGCTATCAAGATATACTCTCAGAAACAGACAGGGTTACTATGAATTGGAATCCACTCAGTGGAAGTTCTCTTAAAAAGTTCGTTCCTGAGATAAGGATGGGATTCTCATTCTCTCTCTCTGCGGCCGAACTACGACGACCAAATTCTGTACACCTCACCTTCCCACTGAATTGCTATCCCTAGAAACCCTACCTCAGTGACCATATTGCAGAGATTTGGGTCAGGGCCTGGGTATTAAAATGGACAGGATAGGGCTACTTCAAATAAACGGATACCGCGAGTGTGTGAGTGTGCGTCTAGCCATTAGATGGAAGCCTATGGAAATCTAGAAAGCAGCATTCTTCATGAAGACGAGAACTGGATGGTGTTTTTTTTCCAGAAATCTCAGCATTGTTGCTCATGTACCTTAAAACTAGTAATGCTGCATTACTTTACAATGTCTGCATCCCGCCCCTTGATAAACAGCTGTGTTCTGCTCACTCCCAGTAGTAATTCTAGAGTATTTGATAACCGGCATGTGTATTTAGCAGGAAAGTGTCCCTCCTACTCCCCCTTTAAAACAAATCCTCACCCTAGCCGGTTTTAACCAAGTATGTCCCCTGGTAGCTAATATGGCTGCTTGTGTCTTGAATAGGGATGGTGGGCGGGAAAGTTCCACAAGATCATCATGAGGGCTACTGTGGCTGACCTGCTCTGTTTGTCCTTTATGCCCTGCATTGTATTATGTCCGCAAGACACCAACCTTTCCCTCGAGTTGCAATCTTTATTTTTTGTAAGTTGCAGTCTTACAGGAGGAATGGAAGATAGGACAAAGTAGTGAGACCAGATCCAGTGCTAGAAAAGTTTAAAATAAGATAAAGTACTTGGCTTCAGAAAGAGTTGCGTTTAAATTCTACTTAAAAAAAAAAAGGTACATGAGAGAATCAAAGAGCTAAGGGAAAGACCAGCCTGGCATCTGGGGAGTAGGGCTAGGTAGGTCGCAGTAGCCCTGGTGGCCTAGTGGGTTGCCTGGTGAGTCACTAATACAAGGTCAGCGGTTCGAACCCATCTGCTGTTCTGTGGGAGAAAGATGGAGGCTGTCTGCTCCTGTGAAGACTTACGTCTGAGAAACCTACCGGCAGAGATCGAGTCTGTTCTGTCAGGTTGTGGAGCAGGTTGCAGTGCGGTTGGCCTTGTAGACGTTTCAAAAGAACACAAAGAAGAGGTGGGTGACCGAGTGGAGGGTCAGACCATAGGCTAAATAGTTCTGGCTTTATTAGAGCAATGGAGGTTCACTGAAAGTTTGTGATTTAGAAGTTACATAATCTACAATAACTTTATAAAGACTAAAAACCTTACCAGTAACTTTGTGATTTCTTTAAAAATTCTGTCACTGGGAAACTCTCTCAACTGTTGTAAATAAGGAACACCAGCTATCATGCATGCAAAGACAGGCTCGTTGAAGTAAAATATATAAATCACAGTATGCAGTTTGACTCTCATTTGAGAGGAATGTAAGTAACCATAAATTTCCTTTTAAAATATGATGTATCTCATCTTTCTGCTCCAGGATAGTACTTTAAAAACTATTGACTTAATTTTAGTAAATTGAGTATCCTATGTAGCTCGTATTTTCAACTATGAATTTTTTTTTTTATCTCTTATGGGTCTAATATTTAAGGGAGTCTTACAAATTTTCTAATTCATGTCACACAAGGAACTCGATAGGAATACATTTTAAGAGCTCCTCCCTGGGGGACGGACAACAGAAAAGTGGGTGAAGGGAGACATTGGACAGGGCACGATATGACAAAATAATAATTTATAAATTATCAAGGGCTCATGAGGGAGGGGGCGGAGAGGGAGGGCAAAAATGAAGACCTAATGCCGGGGGCTTAAGTGGAGAGGAAAAGTTTTGAGAATGAGGAGGGCAATGAATGTACAAATGCGCTTTACACAAATGATGTATGTATGGATTGTGATGAGTTGTATGAGCCCCTAATAAAATGATTAAAAAAAAAAAAGTCTGATGACAAAGGTGCACTTCAAATACGGGCGTGTTAAGGAGTTTTTCCTGGGTGAACTGTCGACGAGCTTTGGGCTGCTCAGCAGCATAGCGGATGGTTTAAGGCCACCAGCTGCTCCGCTCCGGTGGACTTTGACTATCCCTCAAAAGTTTAGACTCGGAAACTAGAGGTAGTAGTGCTCCTCTGACCTATATGGTTGCTAAAAGCAAGGATTAACTCAAAATGGCAATTTTTTTTCCAAGAAATTTTCAGCATTTTTGCAAACTAACCCAAATATACTAAACTTGCTATTTAAAACTTTAAAGAGTTGCCAAAACCAATTCTTCAGGTAGCGATCCATTTTACTTCTTCTTTCACCAAAGAATATTAGGGTATTCCTAAAACTGCCACTTTGATAGGTAAAAATGAAGCTTTTAATGTTTAATATAAAAATGCAACTTGGTCCTCCCAAGATTTGCCAAGTTGGCCTAAGTTCAAATCTAAAGAGAATAATTTCCTAAAGATTATAGCTATTCTGACATGCTGACTTTTATTCAGTTCATACCATCTTAAAGCACTGTTGTAGGCCCTATAATTTATTTATTCTTATTTTTTTTAACCCTTTAGTAACATTAACCAACTAAAATCCCTGGGTGGTGGAAGTGGATAACGTGCTTGACTGCTAACTGAAAAGGTTAGTAACTTAAAATAAATTTTGAAACTTATACATAGATATGCTTATCATTAAAGTTTATTTTATCAGACTTCAGAGCCTTCCATGTCAATATTTGAAATAATGAAGCACATTTGTGAAGGAAAAGATCCTCATCTGTAAGTAAAATTGTAACGGTTAGACTTAGCATGAAAGAGGAACAACAGGTGTAAATGTTGCATTGATACCAGCCACTAAAGCCAAGAAGAGGATCTGGCTCTTAGCTAAAATGAATGCTTTAGGTGAAAGCTCTAAATTATCAATGTGTAATTAAGTGTTGCACTTTCAAAGATGTGAAGGTTGTGACAAAGAAACAAGGAAGGCAGGAAGGAGGTAGAAGGAGCAGAGTAAGTACTGTTTGTTGTCAGGTAGTAGATTTCTACATGTGATTTATGGTACAGAAAATCTGAGTTCAGAGAATCTCTGTGGGCTCATGTCCATTTTGGCCTATGGAAATACCTTATTTCATACTGTTAAAGACCTTATTTCTAAGCAAAAAAGGTCATATTTCAGACATTTGTCATAGAAAGATGCTATCAAGTGGCAACTTCTTTCATAATAACCTCTACTCACAAAGACTAAGAAAATCAAGTGTAAGAATGTGTCTTTACTACATTGGCTGTGTATTAACTGCCTGTTAAATACAACTGCTTATTAAATAAGGGAATGTGATGAAGAAGCAGAGCAAGTAGCAGTTCAGCTTTAGGCTGGAGTTCAAATAGGAGAGGAAACGTACACACACAGGCACCCCACTACTGGAAAACCAGGGCTTTAGGGGAAAGGTATTGGTCTTCTTTCTTTCTCAGTTGTTGTTTCTTAGGGGATAAAACTTACAAGCTAAATTAAAATGCACTCTACTCATTGGCGAACCGCATCAGCAAGAATGTGATCACAGACGTGGATGCTGTTGATTTATCACTATCCCATTCTCTACTTACAAGACCGCGGTCTAGGAGGCACAGCAATGAATCATTACCATTGTCTGTCTGGGAAATGTCAAAAGATTAAGTAAGGGCAGAAAAAGGGAGCAAAGAAAAGAACACACTTTTCTGTCAGAGAAATATTCTTCAAATAATAAAGAGTACTAAATCCAGAGGTACAAAAATTATCATTTTTTAAAATCTCTCCAAGTAAAATAACCATTAGCCATAATGCTTAAGCTTTCTGAGTGGAATGTACATTAGCTTCAGAACCTTTGAGAATTATCGTATTCTTTATCCAACTATCAAAGATGTACCCCTACATATAAAGAGTTTGAGACAAGGAAAACATAATTTCATCAGGTTGAAATAAATTCAAATTTTGAACCAATCACTAATGAATTCAGGTTTTAAAAACAACATATGTAGTTTAACTGGTAGTTTTATTACAAAAATAAGCATCCACAGAACATTTATTTACGGTTTAAATTATTACATATTTCCATACAATGTGAACAGAAAATATATTTTACCCCACACATCGTAAGAGCAAACAAGTGCAATCATTTCAACATTAAAAATGATAATCAAATCTGTACAACAGATAAATAAGTTCATACCTCTAACAGCTTGTAAAAAAAACAACCCAAAATATCTTGCCTGAAGATAACAGTTTACTTACAATTCTACTATGGTCACACATCTCAATGATAACAGCTTGAATCTCGCTACACTGCCACATGCTTAGACTGACCAACATAGGTATTAAACAAAAAAATAGGAGGTGGTAGTAGGATATACCAAAATGGTTGCAAATAGCTTTCCAAACATTGGAAATAATATACAAAAATTAATTAGTGGGGGAAAACATAAGATCCACAGGCAAATTGGTATTACACTGACACAGCTGAAGTAAAGGAAACGGATGAAAAGTTTTAACTAGAAAGAAAGTTTGGCCTTTTTATAAAAAGCAACAACATTAACGATGGCAAAACCCTGTCATGGAGCCTAGAACCACTCTGTGAGACAAAAGGTGTACAAAGCTTTAGGCTTCTCTACCTGAACACCACAGTTACCAGGAGTGCCCACGGCAGGACACAGAACATCAGAACGTGAAGACAAATCAATTAAAGGCATAATCTTTATCATTCCACATCATTGCACATATAAATAAAACAATACTGCAGTCCTTCGTGAGTAAAGTTTTCAATGAAATAAATTCCATGATGAATGGAGGTGCAGATAGTCTTATTACCAAATTTAGTATATATCAAAACAGTGATATCACTAAGCTACCTAAATCACCTTTGTTTTTTCTTTACTGGAAAGGTAATCATTTCCCTGCCTTCATATGTTAACTTGAAATCATTTGTAAACGGAAACACACTTCCAATAGAAAAAACAGTTTCACATGCAATCCTATACAATGCATTCAGGTTTACCCATTTTTTTTCTTTTAACATTTCACATGGAATATGTACATCTCCAATATATACAAGCACACGTGTTCAACAGACATCACTGATGTGTCTTCTGCCACGTGTTTACACTGAGACATTTGTATCTTCAGACGGATGCTTTTGTCCTCTAGGCAGAAAGACACAAAGTCAGTCTGCAACTTTAAGGTGTTTAGGATTTTATGAAGTTAATGTCTTGATTTATCTTGAATGGATGATAAGAGGAGGAGTCCACAAAAAAACATAGCTATACATGCCAACCTTTTCAACAGAGAGGTGTTATCTGTAGGAATAAGAATCTGTGCAAGGTCATTAGTGATCTGAGAAATTTCATGTGCCACACACACAAATATGAAAGTGCTGACGATGATGTTGAGCATAGGGTTTCCGGGTATGAGTACCAAGATGCCACGGGTGTCTGCGGCCAACCATATGTGATATTGGCAAATAAACAGCTAGAGGGAGAAAGAGTGACAGTTAGATGTGTACAGAGAGTCTATGAATAAATTCTTCTAATTTGAATATTTTACAGCATAATTATGCTAGACGTCTTTTCCCTAAACGATTTCCTTTTATTTCACTATTGGCAATGAAAAACCCACTGTACAACGTCAACCTGCTAACACATTACTTCCAAGTCTCTAAGAAATGAAACACAAGAGCAATCTAACATTGAAAACATTTCTTTCATTTTTGTGCATGTTATAGAAGATAGTTAACAACGTGATATTCTGGACTCTGGTATTCAAACCTCAATTAAAGAATGATTATATATGCATGCATATCTATGTATCTTATGTAAGTGCTGCATTTTTATAAATATATATTGAAATGGGATAGCTCTTATGCGTGGGTATGTGTACTGTATGCATATTTTCAGATACCATGTTACAAAGGATTATATGTTGTACTGGATTTTTCTCCACACACATGCATATATTACATGACGACCCAAAATACTTTGACCCTCCTGTTACATTTCTCTGACCACTCCCCTGCTTAGTCCTTTTGTACAGATAAAGCAACTTTCTGGGCATGTGGATTCTACTTCCATATCCAAAAGGATTTCAGTTGACCATGACTGTAGCAAACCTTTGTTGCTTTTCTCTAAATAAACTGGTACAGTGGGAGACGGGACAGCCTTTAAGACACATCAGTGTGTGCTGGTCCTCCTGTTGCTCTGCAGAGTCCAACAAATGACCTCTTAAACTGCACTAGCAGGTTTCCCACGTCTCTGTGAAGATGTCATTTTAGACAACACTACTCCTTCTTTACTTGGGACTGTCAATATGGTTCTATTGTCACATTACGTCAAGCATATGCATTAAGCTACAGTAATAGGAGAACTATGAAATTTGAGTTCTTAAAACCCTGGATAGTAACTTCATGCAATTAAAGTTGATAATCAAGTTCTTGTACTCTAACTGTAAAGAGCCTGGCAAAACAAATACTATATTCTGATTTGTGCCCAATAAGTCATCTGTGTTTAAGAATTTAAAATTTTTTATAATCTCTCCTATAAAGCAGACTAGAAAAAATATCAGAACGCTTACTCAAGAACTCAGAAACATTTACTTTCTCTATTTTAAGGACAATTAAATAAACCCAAAAATGCATCTTTTATGAATGTAATATGAATTCTACTGCTCTAAAATGTTCTCTTTCAAATAATAAAGATCAGAAATCTCTGAATATATCTGTCTGCACAAAGTGATTTGTAGATAATTTCATATTAAGCACCTCACACCAAGATGTAATGAGTTTAAAAATTTCTCAATTTTCAGAGTCAGATTGAATTTTATAACAGTAAGTATGAATAAACCAAATTCCAGCAATATATCTAATTATGCAGACAAGAACAAATCAAAATCCCCTCAGCATGATTTCATTTACAGTATATACTTGTATATAAGCTGAGCTCTTCACATTTTTTATGCTGTTTTTATGGTAAAATTAGGTGCCTTGGCTGATGTTCAGGTCGGTTTATACTCAAGTATGTAAGGTAGATCTAGTTTAACTGTGGGTGGAACTTGGAAAAAAAGACAATAGAAAGAACTTCTGAAAGTCATATACGTCTAGCTATTTAGATAATACTGCTGTTCAAAGGTGATGTTGTCTCCCCTATAATTATATAGCTCAAATAGCTTCAGTTTAAGAATATTTTTGTATATGCTATTTACACACACGCACACACTCTCTCTCTCTCACTCACACACACACACACACACACACACAAAACACTTGGCTACGTGAGAGGAGGTAATTTATTCATATACTAACCTCTAAAGAAATTTTTCCAAACCAAGCAAAAAATGAACTATATACTGAGCGGGCATATCCAGGGATATTCCTTATTAGGATAAAGGCTAAAATCTAAAACAAACATAAAAAAAATGAAACATTAATAATATCTTTAGTGAAATTCATATTGCATGAGGCAATATATATTCCTTCAATCAGTAACTTTGGGGTTTTTTTGCATTCTGGAAACAGAAACATGCATGAGGATATTTCAATTAGATAAAGTACTTGCAACTGGATTTCTAAATGTGTGATCCATAGAATGTACTAAAACAGATTTTAGCCTGCACATGGCTTAACAATTTTATGTACAGTGAACTCTCGCCACTTCGCGCTTTGACTTCCGCGGCTTCACTCTATCGCGGTTTTTGCGTCACAGCGCATGCTCTGTCATTACTGCCACTGATTGGCTCATACTGTACACGCTTCTGTCTGCATCACTACGTATCGGAGCTACGTATCAGATGCATTTTTGCTTTTGTACAGTGTACTGTAATTGTTCGCGATTTTTAAGAAATTTTATCTAAGCCCTATGATGGCTCCTAAACAAGCTGCTTCTTCTAAGCCTTCTGACAATAAAAATAAGCGCCAGAGGAAGATGCTCACCATCCAGGAAAAGGTAAAACTTTTGGATATGATCAAAGATGGCAAGAAAATCGTGGAGGTTGCACGCCATTTCGACTTGAATGAGTCTTCCGTTCGCTCCATCGGTTGTACTTCATAATAATAAATAATAAATGATAATTGTAACGTCCAAAATGTTTTACTGCATTTTCCCTTTTTTGTTTAATAAATTGGGTAATACGAGTGTAATGGTGACTAAAGGGTGTTTTTTCATGTCCTCTATGCTCTTAACTACGAAAATATTGATTTACAAATAAGGAATCCTACTTCGCGGAATTTCATTTATCACGGTAGGGTCTAGAACTGATTAACCGCGATAAACGAGGGTTCACTGTATATTGGGATAAGTATCAGAAACCACTTTATGCTCTGCGTTGAGAGAGTTAGTATCATATAGCAGGTGTAACTTTACCTCCTGACAGTTTTATTTCCATGAACTCACTCGTCGGCTGCCATCCTCTGTTATCTTCAAAAGGGTCCCTTCCTCCACTGATAGCCACCCACCCTGTGTTCGCCCCAAAGACCTTTACTTTCCGGAGTTCTAGCAATCACTCCTTCGCCTCACCCTTTTGCACCAGCTAGAACAATTCTATGCTTTTCCTAAACCTCCAACTCACCTATTCATTCCCCAAAACTAGCTTATCAAGCCACGATATTTCCTAAGCCTCTACCCTCTTTATAAAGAGGCAACAGATGGTAGGTAAAGTAAGAAAAATAACTTCATCTCTACAAATACCTCTTGAAAAGTTTCTCTCATAAAATGATTGAAAATCTGTATCTCAGAGGAAAACCCTTAGTCTGCACTGATCAATGATACTTTTGTCAACGTTTCTGGGCAGGGCTTCCTTTCCCATCTTGTACCTCCTGGGATACACGAAAGGCAGTGAAATGGGAGGAATTATGTGGATCGTGGTATCACTGGGTGAAAGAAAGGGAACTAGCGTAAACTGTCGTTATGATAGAGTGTTGTTATGATGTGCTGTCAGGTCAGTCCTGACTTACGGACAACAGAACAAAGCCCTGCCCACTCCTGTGCCACAACTGGTACTATGCTGAGCCCAGTGTCACAACCACCGTGTCTACTCGGGCCAACGACTCTGATACAACTACACAGAGATCCTCATGGGCAACGGCATCAAATAGACTCAAGTGTGAATGGGGCCTTTGCCTGATATTAGTCCTGCGACTTGAAGCAGAGTTCCTAACTTTTTTGGGTCTACTTCCTCAATCAAAAAATCATGAAAAATCCTATGAGTGCTCATTGTAGCATGTATTGTGAGTCTGTGAAGAAACAATTGGTAGTAGGAATTGTGTAGGTAGAATACATATAGGGGAAAATCATGAAGGTAGTGATACAATGAATTATTTTAATTAAAATATTGCACATACTATCATATAAATTACCCTATACACGTAAATCAATATCCCGAGCGTCAGAAAACCTGCAAATATTCCTGGAAAAGAAACTTTCCTTCTCTGTGTTTTTAACCCACTATACTCCTTGGTGTAGGCCCTTTCTCCATCACAATGAAATCTATTTTGGTATGTGCTTAGTAGGGAATGTGATTAGAAGAGTAGAAAACAACAAATAAAAACCATGGAGAAATATAGGTCGGGGGCATTGTTCTTACTAGCCTGATAAAATAATGATGTTTAAATTTTGTTCTGCATTTCTAACTCTGGAGACTGTGCTGAGTGAGTACTGCACACACATTATTTATAGCTGAGCACCTCAGCACTGGTTTGTTGCTAAGCCCTTCTGAACATTTCTATGCAGAATCTATGCCAACGCAAAGAGTAAGGATTCAGGGACAAAGGCAAAATGTCAGGGCCATGTTGGGAAAATACCTTCCAACAGGCCTCTAGGAATCTTGTACTAAAAACGTTTTAAAATCCTAAAGTGGTCCCTTAGATAGATACTCTAGGGATATGAATAAGGGGACTTTAAAAAGTCATGGAAAAATTGAACTAAAATACAATTGAAATTTTCCCACCAACTTTTTTAAGTTCCTTTGTTGGCATCTGAGAATAAGAGAGCAGAGTGATCAAATGCAGCCTGTAACCTTAGGGGCTACCTGAAAGCTCTCATACTTTAAACTACCCTTTAAGATATACAGCAACCAAAAAAAGTAGTGCTTGCTCCACTCTATGCTCCTGGCTCATTTCTTTTACTCTGAAATGAGGAACATAAGTTAGGAAAATGAGTCTGGGATGTGATGACTGGGAGGAAGGGCACACATGCCTCCGAAGCACAAATGTTATTCGCTATGCAGTCACTGTAGGGGTACACTGTGAGTGTAACATCTCCCTGTCGTTCTGTGAAGCACAGAAAATTCAGATATGGTTGTCTGTAGAAGTAATGAACCTACTAAAAGAATACACTCTAATATTGAATTTTTCATTACCAGTTGTGGTCAAGAGAGTCTAGTACCTGCATGGTACTACATTACATGGAGATTTAAGAAGAAAACATGAAAAAGATCCCTTAAATCTGAGAGCATTTAAGGTAGGGGGAACTCCTTGCTAAACTACTCATTTTTCAGGCCTTCACACAGATGCTGCTGCCTCTAAAGTCTGCCCTGATGGGTAGGCAGTCTACCCTATCAAGATGGGTAGGAAGAACATCTACGTGCTTCCTAGTGCCCGTACATAAAACCACTACCACACTATCCAATATCCTACAAAATGGCAACTGATGGAAATTCCTGCTCATCTCCCAGTCCCTACTGCAGGCATTTCTTCAGACCGTGACTCGGAGATCCAGCCCCACTGGCCTCCTCTAAGCTCCTTGAATAATAAAAAATGCTTCCTTTCCTCACACAGCCCGACTTCTTGCTGCCCCTCTGTACCTGAAATGTTATCCTCTCTGTTGCTTCTATTCATCCCTCTATTATCAGCTTAATCTTCTGAGGGAAATTCTCCTAACCTCCCTCCCTGCAACTAGGTCAGATCCCTTCTGATAGTCTCTTACAGCACCATGAACATCGATGTGTAATTATCTAGTGATTACATATTTACTATTTAACACAGAAGAATGGAGACTCCATGAAGTAGAAATTAAGTCTGATGTGCTCACGATTCATCAGCAGACGTATCTGGCACACACATAGTACGTATTTATTAAATAAAAACAATGTTAAATGAATGAATTTGTATCTACTTCTCTATTAAATGATAAGTTTCCTGAGAGCAGATCTTGTATCTAGCTTAACATGGTATCTCTATACCTAATATGACACCTAACACAGTAAATAATAACTACGACAATAACTGAAGAGTTTGAATAAATGAAGTAGAGCAAAAGAGTAAGGAAACTTAATATTTTATGAGGATCTACAGAAGTGACAAATATTATGGCACACTGCCTCAAAATGCTTCATGAAATCCTTTGGGGGAAAAATTAGGATCTTTCCTACAAAAAGAAAAGAGGCGTTAGAGCCTAGAAAGATGAACTAACTACATTTTCTGGTGTTTGATCACAGATATCTCTGTCTCCAAAGACTGTTTGTAAGAACTAAAAAAATAAGCATTTATTTAAATCAAGATAGTTACCTGCACCACCGAAACCAAGGGGTGGAGTTCATTGCACTCAGCTTTGTTTTTACAACTGCTGGCCCAGATGGAGTAGGTCTAAAAGAAAAAGGAGAAAGTATTGATGCGTACTTTTTTTTTTTTTAAGTTAAGCCTTAAAAAGTATAATGCTCAATTTTAAAGTGTTATGCATTTATAAAGTTATATCTATTCTGCTATTAGTAAGCTGCAGTACAGACTCGCGCAGGTTTTCTCATCAATGGCTCGGTGAGCTCGCTGTTCACACACGAGGGAAGAGACACGCACAGGCATGCGCCTGTGCTTCTCTGGACACAGTGAAGAAGAGGCCGGGGGAGCGCTTCACACCAAACAGTTATTATAATTTTTTTCCTCAAATTTATCACAACTTTTGAAATTCCGGTTTTTCTGGACTTCCAGTTATTTTCATACTTAAGACATGCACACAGTTTCTCTAGAATTTTTATCCAATTAGAAAGGTAAAGAGAAAGGAAATTAAAATGAATTATTAAAGATACTTAACTTATTAGCTTTCTTAAAATTAATGATATGCAATTAAAATTTTGAATATTAGATTCCATTTAAAAACTTACCAAGAAAGAAACTACTGAAATAAACAGCAAGCAATTTGACACTTTGTTTGAAAAGAGAGGTTCGCCCTTTCCTTCAGAAAGTACTTGCCGCTTTTGTAAAGCCAGGTAAGTGAAAGCAAACAACATTCCATGGAAGACTACCTGAAAAGAAAGGTGAGGAGACAATTTGCCTTAAACAGCACTTTTAGGTAAACTGCAAAGATATTTCATTAATGAGGAATGTTAAGTATAAGCTTAAAGATTTGGAAACTCTATGAAGAACTTAAACATAAAGCTCCAAGAATGAAATAAAGCTAATGATTGTTAGAAACCATCATGAATAAACAAGCAAACCCCTCACATGACAAAAGGAGCCAGGCTGGTTAGTTCTGAGCAGTCTCAGCAAATACAGAAATAAAAATGATTGCAGGGACAATGGTAAGACATTCTTCTTTCCTTAAAACACATGACATAATTTAAATGGACACAACCAAGATTAGCCCATTTATCTTGATTCTTTCAGTCAAATAAAACAAACACTACCACCGTCAAAATAATATTTTAAAAGAGTGAAAAAGAATATGGTTGGTTCAAAAAGCATAGACGTTGTCCTGTCAAAACAAAGGCTGAATATGAATTTTACAGGTCTATCATAATAGAATACTCTAATGAGAAAGTTGAGAATTTAAAAATATTTCATGTTAGTCAAGTTTTAGTTAGACAAAAGACAAATGGTTTTGAAATCCAATGTAGTACATTTATAAAGGATAGAAATACGGACACTAGAAATGGGAGAAAAACAGCCCCTGGAAGGTATCTGTTGAATACAAAAAGGAAGGAGAGAAAGATGGTAAGGTGGGATAACCAGTGTCTACTATCTTTCAAATGGAATGCAAGATGTTTTATATCTTCTTTGATAACCATATTCTATGATTCAAGAAAAACCTACTTTTTACGGTAGTTTCCTGTTGCTATAGAAACACACATACATTTTTCTTGCTGTAAAATGAAGTGCAGCGGCCAGGGGGTGGGGGGGGGATGATCATGCGGACTTTCGAAATCAATATATTTCCGTATTTAAAACAAATTAAAAGTAGATTTGTAACATTTCCTAATCACTTTTTAAAGGTATAATTAGAAATAGAAAAAGTTTACATGGTAAATACATACGTAACGGTCTAACCTCCATCGGAACCACCATTCATATACATTCCCTTTTAGTTCAAAACATTTGGACAATGGCCAAAGTGAAAAGATCTTTTCAAATGCACCCTAAGAAAGGAATCCAGAAAGGAAATTTAAGATGGCACAAAGTCAATACCTGGTTTTGTAATACGATGATTTAATTGTGGTTTCATAAGTAAGGATCATTCACAATGTACAAATTCTACTTACTGTGGATAATTTATAAATCATTTGTTTGCAAATTCCTTAATTTGTAAATTCTCCTTATTTCACTTGAACATATCACTTAATCTGAAATTCATTGGAATTAAATGTCTTTTCCAATAAGGATGACCCAACATTTTGTGGCCAACTTAGCCTTCACAGCACATGAAAGGTTGAGACCGAGTTAAAACCACAACAATCAAAACCTGGCAACTGGAAAATTATTCTATTTAAAGTTTTTAATCTAGCATATAACAAATGTTATTTCAAATCAAAACATAGAAGTACTAAATGGTATCAATATCCTAAAGAATGACTGTTATGGTTAAAATATCATTTTCTGAGCTAGTCTCCTTCCTCAACGAACCACATCAAAATGCCATTACTAATCTTTGAAACAAAATTTATAATTTTACTCGGGTCAAGCTAACGATTAGTATCTTTTGTTATTAATCTGACAACAAGGGCAATCTAGGAATGAAGGAGCAGTCAGTCGTCTTAGGTCTATTCCTGCACGTTAATGGAGGAGTCTTTCAAAGATGAGAACAAAAACTTCAATTTCTAAACTGAAGAATGATGACAAACTGTTACCAAAAGCTCCATGACAAAACTCAACGTCGCCATTTTAGAAGGAGTCAATTTAAGAAGCAAAAATATTAAAATTATATGAAATGTCAGGTGCTGATAAACCTTTAGGCCAGAACAATTTTATTATTTTAATAAAATGCAGTATTCTCCATTTAACCATATAATCCCCAAAGCAAATTAGACCATTGAAAATAGGTTCTATCAAAATCTATGCCCCATAAAATTAAGTATCTTATCATGGTTGCAATCAGGTACTTATAAATCACACACAAAAATCTATTTAATGATCTATCAAGTCATACAGCTATTGGTGCAGTAAATACATCTTATAGACAAATGTGTATGTGTCTGTGAGCTCATGCAGAGCACATACAAGGGTAAGCCAAAAAATATTTCACCACAGTCAGAAAAATTCATTAAACAAAATATCAAAATGCAAAGCTATTGTTTCCCAACAAATCCTCCACCTAGATTTATACATTTCTGAAGTCAGTTTTTCTTTTTTTTTTTTTTTTAAATTTTTTTTTTTTTAACATTTTATTAGGGGCTCATACTGAAGTCAGTTTTTCTATCTTTAAGTCCTCCCTAAAGCATTCTACGCTCTTCAATTTACATCATAACAAAATGGAATCCTCTCATTCCTTTTAAATGTTCTTGGAATTGTAGGTAAGACCCCTGGTGATACAGTGGCTTAAAAACTGGGCTCCTTTCTGAAAGGCCGTTGGTTTATACCCACCAGGCACTCTGAGAGAGGAGGAGAAGGCTTTCTGGTTCCGTAAAGATTTAGTGTCCTCTGATAACCGATGAAGCAGTTCTACTCTGCCCTATAAGTTCTCTGTAAGTGAAAATCAACTCAGCAGCAGCGGACAGGTTTGAATTTTGAGGAGAAAAGGAAGTCTGAAGAGGCACCTGCTCTATGGGTAAGGAGCAGTCAGGTGGACGAGCCAAGTTTTTACACCAAAGGTCGTGTGGGACAGGCCTTGCAACCTCAAGGGCGGGTGAGAGCATTGTCATGGCGACAAGAATCCCCGGGCACAATTTTCCTGACCTTTTCCTCACCAGCAGTTTTCGAATTTTCTTAAAACTTATTCATTGTATGTCCCCATGATTGCCCGATGCCCTACAGTAGAAATCTTATCAAGATTACTACCTCTTCGGACTCCTTCAAAGCAGAAACCTGTCTACCTGAAACGTAAATGGTCTAGGAAGATCCCCTGGGAAGGCATTGTTGGACCAGAACTTGTTGGAAGGCACACTAAATAGACCAAGACAAGTGCATCACTGAGAGAACTTACCTGTAGCCATCCTATTGATTGTAGAGAGAGGTTATGGCATGTTTTGTGTGGAATAAATCCATGCATCTATGAATTGGAACCCTAAAGCAGTTATTTTTTTTTCATGTCACTTCATTTATATATAGCACAGACATCTACACTGTGTATCAAATTAAGAACTTTGTTTTTAACTTAAAAATTGTATTTCTTAACTAATCAACACATTTGTTGAGCACCCATTTTCGGAAGAACACGAGAATGTGTACTGATTTTTCTTCTCCTGTCGTCCCCAGAGCTGGGAAGACTCACTGGGTCCTTTTTCCTTTCCCTCAGGTATACCCAGGGAGCACTGGGAATTTTAATGAATATTTCATAAGTGGCTGATGCTGTTACCTAGCTATTACTTTATGTTTATACATGTGCATACTGTTTTCTTATTATTTATGTCCTATAAAAAAAACCCATGGTAGCCAGGCAGACATGGAGATACATTCAAAAGCACTGCCATCGGCTCACAGTGGCCTTACAGGACAGGGTGGAATTGCCCCCGTGGATTCCGAGTCTGTAATTCATTATGGGAGTACAAAGTTTTGTCTTTCTCTTGCAACGTGGCTGTGGTTTTGAACTACTGAACTTGCAGTTAGCAGCTCAAACTGGAATTACTACACTGCTAACAAACGCACTGCCACTGAATTGTTTCCAACTCATGGTATCCTTTTAGGGTCACTAAAAATTGAGGTAGATGCTTTATATAATTGTAAATATGAAAACCCACTCAACATGAAGTCACACACACACACACACACACACACACACACACACACACACACTTCCCTTAGAGAAAACAAGAATGTTGGAGAGTGGAGTAACTGCAGAACACGGTAAAACTATAGGTATTTAGAAGAAAGCATTTTGCTATAAATAACATAAAACTCATTGCCATCAAGTTGATTCTGACTCTGCAATCGTAGAGGGCAAGGTAGACCTGCCTTACAAGGTTTCAGACTTTCTATCTTTACAGTAGCAAGCTGTAAAACATCTTTCTCAGAACAGCTGGTGGGTTTGAGCCACTCACCTACTGGTGTGCAAAGGAGAGCTTTAAGCTCTGTGCCAGTAGGGCTCCTTATAAATAATATAAAAACCTCAAAACCAAACCCACTACCATTGAGTCCGTTCCTACTTACAGGGATCCTCAAGGGGTTTCCAAGGCTGTACATACCTACTGGAACAGAGTCTCACCCACCACCACCACCACCCGGGCTCCATATCAACAACATAACCAGACCCCAGTCTCAGCGCTGTGAGTCAGGGCTGACTCCCAGCAACGCTAGAGGGCAGCGGAGAACTCGCCTGTTCTCCAGAGGAGCAGCTGGTGCTTTCAAATGGTTGATCTTCACATGACCAGCTCAATAGGTAACCCACTGTGTCACCAGGGTTGGTGGGACATTGGGCTACTAACTTGAAGGTCAGCAGTTTGAGACCACCAGTCTCTGAGGGAGAAAGATGAGGCTTTCTACTCCTGTAGAAATTTATAGTCTTTGAAAAACAAAATGGCAATTCTACTCTGTGTTATAGGGATAAAAAGTTAAAGTTAGGAAAATGACCAAATCAAACTATTATTTATTAAATTAAGCATATTACACATTTACCAGCCCCCTTTTCCTCTACCTACCAAACTACCAAAAGTTCTCTTTCCAGTTATATAAAACAAGCAAGAAATACTTTATTGCAATGAATAATGCACAGAGCATGCTGCAAATTCTGTCAAGAGAATTTTGATCTCCACTTAGAGTAGTGTGTTCCAAGAGGCATTCAATAAACGTTTGATTGATCAGAGTCAGGTTAAATGGATCTTGAACAATTGCCAGAGGAAGAACTTTAAAATGCTCTTACAACACAAACAATGGTAACAAAAGTAGATAGGTCTCAAAAGAAGTATACTGAGTAGTCAAATCCAGTGACACTTTTATTACAGTCATTAAAACATGAAGCTAAAAAAAAAGCTATGACTCTTCTCACATACTTTAATAGACTTGAACAGTACGATAAAGCATAATAAAATGTAAACTGAAAAAAGGTACGAACCTGAGAATATGCCAAGAAACATATACAAAGCAGCAAGAAGGCTAGTTTCAACAGTAAGCAAAAATGCCAGAAACAATTTCCTAAGAGAGAAAATATTTGAATTTACTAAATATACAAATTAACATTAGAAAAATAAGATGTTATTATTCTCTATATTATTCTCTTAATATTCTATATTCTTATTCTATCCTATATTCTCTCTATATAGTCTTTAATACAGATACTAACAAGAGATTAGTACTCTTTATATTAACATTTCTCATAAGTGCATTTATATGCTGTGTAGCTCTATAAAAATTTAAATGCCCTTATGTTTCAGTAGCATAGGTTACAAGCAGGGCCAAAAGGGGAAGAAAAGGGTAGATAAGGATCTTTGCTGGGAATGAGTCTTAAACATACACAGTACCCCGTATAACTGCTATTCATGTACCATAAATATATTTGAAAATGCTTCCTGGATTTAAATATACCTTATTACTGAACATTGAAACAGAATTAGGATAATAGGGTAAATGTAATTCTTATAAACACTTACCGTATATACTCGAATATAAGCCGAGCCGAGTATGAGCTGAGGCACCTAATTTTACCACAAAAACTGCATTAAAATGTGCTGAAAAACTCGGCTTATACACGAGTATATACGAAATGTTAAATATAATTTAGGTGATATTGCTTAAAGTTCTAAGAGGAGAGCTTAAACTCCCTAATGGAGTAGGACATAAGGTACATTTTAACACATGCATATGTTAAATTATGCATTCCAAGTTAATACATATTGACTGCTCAATGATTAATGTGCTGAGTAGTATAAAGAGTAAACTACAGAGGCTGTTCAAAGACACTAGTGGACTTCATTGGAGGCTAGAACTCAACTCTTCCTGAAAAATTATTTGATATTTTTATTAAATAATGTTTTTAGTGCACAATATTTCATTGAAAGAATAAGTCAAATTTTCTTTTTCCAAAGAAATCTTTTCCATAAAAATAAAGGAAAGCTGTTTTAATAACATTATCTTCAGGGGGAAAGACATTAAAACCAGTCTCTGTCCTCAATTTGAACACTATCAGTAACTGGCTATGAGTACTTAGAAAAGGGCAATGTCTTGGACACTCAGGTTTCCTTATGTGTAAAGCAGGTTGATGATAGCTGGCTAATGGGTTGCCTGGAAGATCAATTAGTTGTGCTTTTAAACCTCAATGAAAAAAGGCTTCTTGCAGAAAAAATTTACTCAAAATCTCAATATATAAGAAATCAATTAAAAGCCGAGCTGCCAAAGCAGAAGCAGTAGAGGAACCCAAGCCCGGCTTGGCTTGGCTTCGCTCCCAAGCTCATCTCTCGTCTAGCTGCTTCCACTCTGGCTCTTTACAACACAGCTGGAAACTGCTGCATTAAGCTACGGGGTAAGATGGCATTGAAAAGTTATAAAACAAAACAAAACACATAATGCAAAATATAATTCGACAAGAAGTCATCCTATTAACATTAAGCTGTAATATCTTAGAAATATATTTTAAGAATAAAAGTTCAAAATATCAAAACTAAACATAATCTTTCTACATCTCCTACTTTAAATAATCGTTTTGGGTAACTAAGTGACATTTAATACACTGAAAGAGCACAGTCTTTAATATTATAAGTAAACGTATACACCTACCATTCGCTTTTTTTTGGATTATCTGTGGCCATAGTGCTAAAGTGATGTATATGATCGTGAACCATACAGTGACCAAGGGGACAAAGTAATAGAATTGGTAAGGCCGATCCATTACTATACATAACACTACTACCAGGAAATTGAGACGAAATAAGACCTATTTAAAAGACAAGAAAATGATTTTTATTCCAGGTATACACAAAGAAACAAAGTCAGATTTTCTCTGACAAAATATGTTTACTGAAGAGTTAAAACATTAACTGTATGAGTTATATTTTATCGATTTCCAAAATTACATTTGGTCTACAATCACTATAAAGAGTTGAATATAAAATATTTATGCATCATTATATTAACTAAATCCCAGCAAAGCACCAGCCTACACTGTCCTCTGGCTATGCTTGCTGTTTTTTGTTAAATGTAGGGAAGGAATTGGAAACCTTCTTCCTAGGGCTACGGTTTATATGCAGATATTAGATTACCTCAACAAAAGGGTGTCCATTTCATCTCTTGTTTGATATTGATTTACCCCATTTGGGATTAAACTGAAGGGTTGTCATACATACAAAATAATATAATTCAAATTAAAAAGTGTCTTTGAGACTTTTGTAAGTCATTTCAGGTATTAGTGTGATGCCATTCAAAGAAGTCGGAATTTGAGCAGATTTATATTATCTTTAGTCACACACTTACATAGATAGGTAGATAAAACTATACCTTCACCACTTACTATGTGACTTTGATAAATTACTTAACCTCTCTAAGCCTCAGTTTCCTGGTTATAAACATAAAGATAGTAACTCAGATTTGTAACAGGAAATAAATATTTAGAAACTACCTAGCACATGTAGAAAAGTATTTTTTAATAAGTTAGTAAGTATTAACTCACTCACTCCTCATAGGAAAAAAAACATGGCATATTTAATAATTCCAGATTGTAACTGTATACATTTCTACATAACTAAAGCGAATCAGCAATGTTGTCCCCTGTGTGCTACTGTTTTTATTAAGAGATTCTTCTCAATTATATTTTCCCTTTTTGCAGTAATAAATTATTTATCTTGGATTATTAAACACCAAACCCAGAAATAACCATTTTAGATTCCTATTCATAAATTCAAATTACTTGTTATCTTATAATGACCAAGTTTATGTTTTCTAAACAGCTAAGGTGAAAAGCATGTTGAATTGAAAGAAAAAAAGACAACTGGATATATTCCTACCTGACAAACTCTATGGATTCCAAAGTCTCCTTTGATCCAAAAGTATGAGAAATGCCCATAGCCTGTTTGAAATAGATATGCAGCAACGAGAACTCGAATGTGCATGTACACAGGCAAAAACTGTTGACAAAAATGAACACGTAAAAATACATGTTGGCATTGATCGGATTATAACAATGATATTTATCTAAGATAATAAGATCACCATTATCATTTGGTTATCAGTTCAATGAAAAGATCTATTCTCAAAAGTTAGGCATGATCACAAAGAAACCAACCAACTGCTATCAATTCTGACTCATAGCATATCTCTCTATCACTGAAGCTTAAATTTTACAGGCGCAGACAGTCTCAGGCTTCTCCTGGGGCAGCACGTGTGCTGGAACTGATGATCTTTCAGTAAGCAGCCTCCTGCTCACCTGGCAGTGCCACCAACGCATTACACTCACAACGCACACTCCAACTCACTGCCATGAGGTCAAGTCTGACTCAGAGCAGCGCACGAGCAGAGCAGAGCAGTCTGGGTGGGCTTCTAAGGTTGTCCATCTTTATGGGAGCAGAAAGCCTCATCTTTCTGCAGGGGCATTATCAAAAGGGCCTAAAGAAACCCCACAGTAAACCACTTAATAGTTAATTTATGTTTCAATTTCCTAGTCTGTAAGATGAGGTTATTGCCTTCTCCCTAAAAGAGTCCTTGAGAGGAATAAATAAGATAATAAATGTGAGGCACTTTCAATGTTAGTCTGGACCATTAGAATTCAATATGAGCTAGCTGTTATTATTAGCTACCATCTAGCCTTGGTATAATGGTTTTCCTAGTTCTCACATTTTCCCAAAGACATGAAAAATACTTTTAAAATCTCATGTATTTTTATCTCTGTATACACAGAATTTAGAGTTGTAAATAAAAGCCACAGACTACTTAAAATATTTAAGAAACATATATAAATAACATTTTAAAATACATCATTCATCACAGTTTTTCAGAGCATCACATTGCCATTTCTAAATTGAATGCAATACAACACATTTTGAATCTCCATAGTTACTAGAGATATTTAATCACAAGTACTAATCCTCAGAACCCTAGAACATTGCCAACCGAGCTACCTCTTCTATGCCCACTGTCCCTTTTAAGTGCACCTCAACATCTCCACTAGAAAACTTAAAGGCTTGTTCTCAGTGACATCTAATGCTTACAATTATAAGGCCATTGATTTAGTGAAAAATTACAAAATCTGTATATAATTTCTTTAGCTTCTATTTGATAAACTCATCTGATCACCTCTGTAAGTGTACAACACTAACACTGTTTATGACCATTTTAAGTTAATGTGTCTTCTCCAACTGATAATTTGTACAAAGTATTTTCCTGTACAAAATATTTAATTTAAATTAACATCTTCAAGAAAAGACTTTATTAGGTCTTGAATGAATAGCATCTCTCTTTTAGAAGGAATAGGATTTTCTTTTTTAGAACACAAGATAATGGATTTTTACATTCTTGTACATAACTTCCACTTCAGCCAAACAGATACATTTCTAAGGCTTACAGGCAGGTTCATTGTGTTTCCTAGGAAATATACGAGGAAGCCTAGTGGCATAGCGCATTAGGGGCTGGGCTGCTAACCGCAAGTTCGGCAGTTAAATACGCCCAGGCACTCCGAGGGAGAGCTGAGGCTTTCTGGTCCCGTAGAGTTCCACTTCCAGCAGTTCACAGGGGCCGTTCTACCCTCTCTTACCGTCGGAACACTCTATGGCAGTGAGTTTGGTTTTTGGTTTTGGTTGAGTTTCTCAAACTTTAAAACACATTTTATATAACTTAGTTTAGGTATTAATTATAAAAACTTAGGCTGAAAGTGGTTATTAGAAACCAAGGCTCACATTCAAAAGCATTATTTTAACCATAATGTAGCAAGAATGTTCAGATTCAGAACAAATTACATATTTTTTCTATCCTTGCCATATCCAAGGTGGACACAGACCAGGAAAGCCATGAGTCATTTATGACAGCAAGGGAGAAGGAAAAAACACCCACTCAGATACAGCAGGCAGACGAACAGGAAGAGATCGCCCCAGAACAGAGGAGGCAGCCTTTAGGAAGGTATACCCTACACAGCGACAGGTAGAAAATAAAATATAATAATCTAATTCAGATTTCTTCTGATAGTAAACAGTCTACTACAAATCTGTGAAAATTAAGTTTAATCTACAAAGTTTACTGAAAACTTTAAATTAGTTTCTCAACAGCATGACACGAAATAAAATCCTTAGATTACCAGCTGTTTCAAATACATTAACTCTTTCATGTGAACCATGGGACATATAGTATCATCAACATTTCCAACCTCTGAGGTGTCTTGGAAATCTGCTATCCTAGTTTGACAATGTGCTACCATCAGGCAGGGACTTGTATAATGACATGAATCTGATACAAAAATCTGCTATCCTAGTTTGACAATGTGCTACCATCAGGCAGGGACTTGTATAATGACATGAATCTGATGCAACACACTAATCCTACCACCTGAGTCATTTGGTATGTATATATATATGTATGTATGTATGTATGTATATATATTTACAGATGGATACATAATTCTATCCTTATACATATCCCTGAGGGGGGGAGGGGGAGAAACTTCCCTTTGAGTTCAGCATACTTTTCATTACTCTAAGCAAATGATACCAACAGAAAATTCAAAGCAGAAAACAATTCAGTCAAATAATTCACTGTTAAGATATCATCACATAAATACAAATTAATTATTGCCTTCTCGTACCCTATTATTATTATTTATCCATTTTGTTTTAAAAGTAATATCTATTCTCAAAGCAAGTGTAAGAACAGAATGGGAACACAGAGGCGTGGGTGGGAAAGAGGAAAGATCTCTAAATGATAGAGAACATAGAGCACCGTGAAAGTCCACGCCTTAAAAACATTGCAGTAAGATGACTTCCTATACTTTGTAAGTATAAATTAAAAATACTCACTGTACTGGCTCCAGAGATATGATAAATCAAAATCACAAGTTGCATCCAGCCTTTCCATTCATCTGTTTGTTCTCTATTCAACACTTTAGTCTGTACAAAGGAACCACACTCTGTTTTCAGAATTCATCAGGGTATCATTATTAGATACACTAGATTTTATCCTGCTGAATGTACACTCAAATTTATGTTACCAATGTGCTTACATAATATAAAGTTAATGCTTTTGTCACAAGTATCATGGAAAGAAAAACAGGTAAAAATGAACTTAAAAAAAAAAAAAAAAAAGAACTTTACTCCCGATCAAAGAATAAGCTAAAATAATTTTAAATATAAATTTTTAAAAGAAAATTTGAGTATTTAACTTGACTTTACATGAAGATATTTAAATTATGATAAATCTGAATATACATAAGTTTGAAAATGGCATTTTAAAATTTTCTGTAAGAAAATCAGAGTTTCACTCAGTGTTAGGAAGGATTTTACAAATCACTTAAACTTTTGTGATCAAAAAAAGATCTACGATTATACTTTTATTTTTTCCTAGTTTATTCTAACTGGTTAATCATGAATTATTTATTATAATAGAATTTATTAATGCAAATATAACGTCTTTTAAGGAAATTATAATTTTAATAATTATAACTTATTTTTATAAATGAAATAATTCTACAGTATTATATGGTCTTAATACTGTGAGCAATGGCAGAAATTCTGGAATAGAAAAGTTCACAGTATTTTAATTGGCCACTTCATTATGGAAATTATAAATTTATGCATTTTCTAACTGTAACTTCTACTCCTCTATCCCCAAGAAAACAAAACTTTAACTAGATCATGACTTTTTTCCCAACTTAAGTTGTATTTTTCAACCATTCAATTTTCTTGTGGTTTTTTGCATATCCTCTACTCGGTTCCTAAAATGCAGCACTAATTCAAGTCTAATAGCAATATTCCTTGTGTTTTCTGGCATTGTTAATGACATTGTTTCTTCTGTGGAGAATTTGTAATGAAGAAACAAGGATACTACACAAAGGGAAAAGAAAACGAATCTTACCTCTTTAGTATTTTCATTGTAAAATATTCCCAAAACCAAGATGTAGATAATTGGAATAAAGAAAGATGAATGTGTATAAAATTTGTTCTCCTTCATAAACAGATTGGCACGGTCACACATGTAAAAATATGCCATAATCAGGCCAAGTTTGCAGAAAGACTGTAAAAGTATTTCTAATGGAGACATGGGGATATTGATAATATTTTTCTTCTCCTCTCCACTTTCCAAATCAGGACATAGTTTGTTCTTACGATGAGCATTACGATTAATTATGCCCAAAATTACGTAACCGAAAATGGAGAAGATGAAAAAGCAAGCAGCTAGCTTCTGTATGAGAGTAAGAGGAGGCCGAGGTTGACAACAGGAACCATCTACAGGCTTCAAAATCTTATTGCAGTATACATTCATTAGAATCATTGCAATCTGTGAACAAATCAAGTTATTCAGTTATTATCTTGTCAGTAATGCATTTCACATTAGCTTTTCCCCTGTGATTACTGCCAAGATTTCAACACTGAACCCCAAATGCTTCTGTACTGTTTTGCTATCCTTTTCCAAATAGTCATGCAAATAATATTATCCCCTTCCATCTCTGATGGATCATTCAGGGTTTTTCAAACTTTTTTTGACTATGCCCATAATAAGAAATTCACTTCACACTCAGTACATACACGAGGGGTCTTCAAAATTCCATTGTTTTAATTCCATTTTCTCCACAAGCTTTTTAGAGTCCCCACCCCACCCCACCCCCCGTATATAAAACGATACCTATTCTTCTTATTATTTTTCTACTCTTTTCTTTCTTTCTTTTAATTACTAATTTCATGGCTGCTAATTTTTAAACCTTCAGTTGAAAAATATTGACGGTGGTCTAAGACCCAAGAATTTTAGTTAAAAATGCTCAAACAGAAGACAGGAGACTATCTGAAAACAGAGTTCCAGCCTAAAGATGTGAAATAAGGATGTACAAAATTGCCAAATTGGGGGGGGGG